CCATGGCCTTCTTGTACCTGCCTCAGTTTGTTTGAGCTACTGACTCCCCAAACCAGACCAGGATGAATTTTATCTTTAATCCTCTTCAGTCCAATTCACTTGAATACCTATATGCCAAACCTGTCATGAAGTTACAGGCTATAAATAAATGTCTGCTACTGGAAATTCCTCACCAGAAGTCAGAGTCTGTTCAGCACCTTGGCCCAGAGAAGCTGGAACTGGAGGCTGTGAGAGAGGAAGCCATGAAGAAGATGGAACTTGATCTGAAGCTGAAATGAAGGGAGATTGCTGAGAAAGAGCACCTCAGGAGAAAGAGAAGGAACACCAAAACCGGTGAGAGAGTTGCAACACCATGTCATCTTCACTTACTCTCTTCTCTCCAGTAGAACCCATAACCCAGGGAAATGGAAATACCAATTCATAAAGAACCATGAAAGAGATGAGGTTCAGACCTCACTAATTATCTTTGAAGATACCTGCCAAGCTTACACCACTTTAAAGCCCAGGAAATGACGCATATATCTCCTGTCTTGAAGAGTTGCTTAAGTGAAATATTGGTTGACATGTGTGCTGAGAAAAAGGAGGAAAACCAATAGTTTAAAAACATAATATTTGTTTGTTTGTTTGTTTATTTATTTATTTATTAATACTATATTTGATGATTATCCTAAATTTTCATTTAACTAACAAACTTCAGATATTTATTTTCTTCAGTTTTAATAAACATAAGTTGTCAAGTAAATCCAAAGTAAGAATATATAACCAATAATAATGGATAATTAGATGTTACCAGCCTAAGAATCTATTTCACAATCATTCCCCTGCTTTTTCCATTAGATGTTCCTTAGTGTTTAGATCTGGTGTCAGGATGATAATGTAGCACTTGGGAAAGAAGATGCAGGTCAATAGTCCAGCACCGGAGGCCAAGATGGAGAAGACCTGCACGGCCACCATGTATTTTCCTTTAGTGCTCAGGTAGGTGGGGAGGAAGGAAACCCAGACACTGCAGAAGACCAGCATGCTGAAGGTNGCACTACTGTGATTGTTTTGGCCAAGACAGAAGACACGGCTACTGAGAAGACAATGCTGAACACTGTTTGTCGGAGAAGGCAGGTGGCTTTCCTTGGTCGGCCAATGAAGAACAAGGAGGATAAGAAGCAAAGCAGAAGGGAGACCAGGAGGATGAAGGAGAGGTCCCGGTTGTTGGCTTTGACAATAGGAGTTTCAAGATATTTAATGAATATGATTAAAACAAAGCCTGTGATTAGGAACAAGAATAGAGCACAGGAGATGAGGATGATGCTGAGATGTTCTTCATAGGACAGGAAGGCTATTCTTTTGGGGATACACTGGACTCGGTTCTCAGTTGGATATTGATCATCTGGGCACTTGGTGCATTTTATGGTATCTGAGATAAGAAAGTAATATTTCTTTTATAGTCTTTCATATTTCAAGAAAAATTATGGATAAGATGTGATAAAGAGAGACAGAAAAGTCTCAGTAAATGGAATATGCTTCCACTACAATGGCAAAAAAATCCCCAATATATACAACTATAAAAAGAACAACAGCATAAACATAAAATTAAAAGAAAATCTATCTGGTGCTACAACCTTGCTTCTCTGAGATAATCCACCAGATTCTTATCCTGCACTGACCTTACCTTCTCCCAAATGGTTGGGAGAAGTAGCAAGTCTCCAGAGGTTTAAGAGGAGGGGGGCCTATTAAATTTAAAGGTGGAGTGGGTCCAATAAGGTGGGAGCTGCACCAGAAAAGGCAGGCTTCTGATGATCCACAAAGTGGGAATCCTTTAAGGGAACAGATCATTTGCATGCCAAATATTATATGCTCTGGTAGGAGAACCAGATATCCTCAAGGAGAGGAAGCCCTGCAGATACCCTGGTTCTGTCTGATGGAGGGTTTGAAAGTTTAATTTAATTGCACCTGGAAAGAAACTGGGATTCTGTGTAGCCTGCACAGTAGGGGTGTCCTATGGAAGAACACATGGAAACTCAACACTGTGCATGCCTTTGCATTTTGGTCTATTTATAAATTCCAGGTGAATCCTGAATCCTCTCTTTGGTTTTTATTGTTCCTTTAACCCAACATCTCTCCCTCTATTGTTCCTCCCAATTAGACATTGCAGCTTATAAGGATAAATGATTTTACTAAAGATTAACTGATTAAATTAATGATTGATAGATGCATCTATCAGCCTGTAATGTAAATTTGGTTTAGGTAAACAAAACACATTGATCTAAAATCATTACTCAAGTTACAAAAAATACAGATATTTCTAAGAAAGATAAATATGGATGGAAACATCCAGACTGGGAAATGAAAGAGAGATTTCCTATGCAATCCACAACATCCTTCTTTCTACCTCACCCTTCAAGATATTTGGACAAGGAATGCAGTCGTAGCAGCAAACTGGCTCTCCTTCTCGAGATCAACTCTGACTGCTCTTTAGAAGGCCAGATCCTGAAGTTGAAACTCAAGAACTTTGGCCACCTAATGAGAAGGAAGGACTCACTGGAGAAGAGCCTAATGCTGAGAAAGATGGAGGGCAAGAGAACAAGTGGATGACAGAGAATGAGGTGGATGGATGGAGTCACTGAAGCAGTAGGAGGAACGTTGTCCATGGGGTCGCGAGGGGTCGGACACGACTTCGCAACTAACAACAACAACAATTGATCAAAGTTTCCCTATGGTGTCACCCACCTTCCTGAGTGGAGATGGTCCCCTCTGGACAAGGAATGCAGTTGTAGCAGCAAAATGGCTCTCCTTCTTGAGCTTTCATGACAAATCCAGGATGGCATTTTTCCACACATTTAGACTGAGGCAGAGACTAAAGAGAGAAAGAAGAAGTGCCAAAGAAAATATGTCAGGACTCACCATCCATGTAAGATGGAGGTAGACATGAACATCAGCCAAGTCGTCTCTGGACTTCATGTAGGCAAATATGAAATCTCTGACCCCTTCAAAATGGTTGCAGGAGATACAATTGCAGGCAGATGCCTCATTCAGTTCCTCCCTTTTTCTTCTCTTATCAGATTACAATAAAATAGGTTTCTACTTAACAAAGTCTGGAGGGATGAAATTGAGAAAAGATGTAACAATTAAGTGGCAACCGGTGGGTTCCTCCTCATACTGGAATTGACATGCATTCCTCCATTCTTCATACATGCTTTATTTTAAAATATAATATCAAAAATACTAAATTTTGGAGTAAACTTTATTGTAAAAATTTATTAAATTTTCATTTTGTTGGATTTATTGAAATAAAATAAAACTGTGATGAAGAAAGAAACTTTTAACCAGTAGGATCTGGAAAGGTTTCTTCTGGAGTACATAAAACATTGCAAAGCTGCTTCCCTTTGAAAGCAGTTCAAAATTATCTCCAGTTAAGATAAAAAGGAAAATTCCCTTACAAATAAGGGCTGTCAACCTTAAAGATATTCTTCATTCATATATATATATATATATATATATGTTCAGTTTATATGGCTGCCATGCTGGGGAACTGAAACTAAAACTGGCTGACTAGTTTGTAAAACTATAATGAGGTGAGAGGGAGGTGAGGTCTTGAGAACATGTCCCTTAAAAAGGGTGAGTCAGGCATCTTTTGGTGTACTACATGGGTCATGAGTGTGAGTCTTATGTGTGAAAGGGATATTCAACACAAGGACCTTTCTGTTGAGAGAAAACAATTAGGTGACACAATCTGACAGGGAAATGCACACCCATATTTATTGTTAATTTGGTTTGTAGCCTGACAGTGTGTCCTAAGGCAGCTAACAATCAAGATAAACAGTTGCATTCAAGGGATTTAAAGATGAAGCGCACTCTTCCAAGCCAGTGCCCAAATCTAAGTAATATTTCCCTCGAAATTATCACTTATTATTTCTGATATCAAGAATTTTTTTTGCACCAAAGTCATGCTTCAGTACTTCAGTTTTTAAGCCATTTTCATCGTGATATGGGAAGCAAATAAATTTAATCAATCAATCCATTAATGAGCTCACATCAGACCAGTCATTATTATTTCATGTGAACTGAAATCCTTCCTAAATTCCACTATCCCAGTGGTGTTAGAGAGAGGCAGATATAAGCATGTTCTCAGCTGATTAGAAACATCCCAAACTATGAGCCTGCAATTTTGGGAGACCCATGACTCCAATCAAGGCAAGATGAAGCTTATTTAACTATTGAACCAACAGTACCTCCATCCAGTCTTGATTCCATTTCATTGGATTCAGTACAAATCTGAACTCAGGGACTGGTCAACAGAATTGCCTTCACCTTTGTTATTTGAAGACAAAAAACTAGTGAACCTGAAGCTATTAACACCAAAATCTCCAGCATATGAGGCCCTGTCTTACCAGTTTTATGGTGATACTAAACTGCTGAAGGGACACTAAATGGCAATGATTTGTGTCCTAAATAATAATCACCCCATATCTCATTTTGGATCAGCTGACAACAGGATTCAGCATGACAGCCTCAGAAGGGAAACCTTGGTCAATAGAACTGAAGCATGCTTATCTGCCTGAGAAAATTATAGAGGTTTTACTCCACACATTCAATTCTCAGGGAAGGTTACCCACTTTTTTGACTGGGTTTAGACCACTTGAAAAGGCTTTGGAAAAAAGAGAAAAGACACCAATATTTTCCCCACCTTGTTGAGCAACTTTAGCTGTGACAAAGCTGTTTGGTTGATTGTAAGTCTTTGTCTTTCAAAACTCCCCAATCGCTTCTTGATGGGATCTTCCTTGGGGAGAATCACCATACTAATAATTTCCAGATCTGCTGCTACGTCTCCATTCTGATCCAAGTACACTTTCATCAGGGAAAGATTGTACAATTCCCTCTTCTTTAGAAATGAATGGAACTAGAATGGAAGCATCCAGGAATTTAAAAGCAGAAATCTTGGTTTCTTAACTCTTATCACTTTTTACATTTGAATCTTTCTTCTATGGTTGTTTAACTTGCAAATAATGTGAATTGGGAGAACAAGTGTTCCCATTACCTTCAAAACTGAAGTACAAAGATTCAGCAATATTTCTAAATCATGTAGTATACTGATAAAATGTACTGTATATTGACAAAATGTAATTGACAAAAATGGTCAATCATATATAACATAGCAAAGGTCACCAATCAAGTAAACAAAATACACAAATAACTAGAGTATTCATAAACTCCTTGCAAACAATAGGGTGATTACCAGAAAGCAATGATTTGTTAAGAAGAAAGTTTGAAGGCTAATCTTCATTCA